CTCATACCCATTTCTCCATCATCCGTTCTACCTTTGGTGCGTGTACCCTTCTACGGCGCTGTTGGCGCTATCAACACCACCTCTACTTACGTACACGCTCTCCTCCACCAGCCACCCCTTCTGTGTCTCGCCCCTCGTACTATTCGAATCCAGATGCAATACGAGCGGACGCAATAATGCATCGTATCAAAGTTAAGAGGCTCGTCTTGTTTGGGCCTCGACGCGGAAAATAAGCTAGCCGTTTGCTCTTCATTAATCGAATCGTTCGCAGGAACAACGCGTCTCATGGAAATCAAACTTTATGAGAGATAAACATTCGCGTTTTACGATCACTGTGAAGCATCAACTCTACCACAAACTTCGTAGAGAAAAACGACAATTAATGCCCCTATTACTGAATAAAATCTTGTTTCATCTTTTACTTACGACGAAAAATTATTAATCCTGTCGTAAAGAATAAAATTCAATATGTACAAAATATGCCCTGAATATTTAATTAAATTCATTGTTTGCATTTATCAATTATAATAAAAGAGTTAATGATTTTAATAAAAACTGTGACAAGCAATTTCTTTTTTATTGCGATAATTATAATATAGTATTATATAATCATAATGTTATGTTGTTTTTATGATAAATCTCTGAATTCAATTCTTTTCTAAACAAAAAACAGTACTTTTCAAATTGCAAACAATTGCAAGCGAAGGAATTTCGAAAATTAAACTTGAGAACCGCAAACAGATAATAGAATTAGAATATAAATATCGCACGATTTATTTAATTTCGGACCGAGTTTATTTTGAGGAGTTCAGGATTTAAAGATTATTTCTGGAGATATTTAAAATAGAACGGTACTAGTTTACAATAAATGATGGCTGCTTCCTTCAATATTTTCGCCACAAGCACAAAATTGAGAATAAATTAAAAAATACATTTAAGAACGAACAAAATGACTCATCAAATATTAATTTCGTGTTTATGCAATAGTTTTTAAATTGCAAACGATTGCAAGTAAAAAAGTTTTCAAAAATGAAATTTCAGCTCTTACAGAAATTTAATTGGAAGATAGTAACTAATTATAGTACTTATTTTGAATATTAAAATCACTGTTGTTCAGTTCTTTTAATACTCAAAATAAGTGATTAATTACTATCAGTATTAAATTATATTTTTCTGTAAAGAAAAACCGTAAACGGATAATAGAATAAACAAATTCACTTAATTTCGCAAACCGATTTTATTTTGGGGAGTTTATTTTGAAGTTTACGATTAGTTCTGGTGATATCTAAAGTAAAAGATTAATTTTGTACGTCTTTTGCTTAATTTCTAATCGTTCTTTCACATTTATTTCTTTATCTTCTTCGTAACCGATAAAAAAGTACATTCAGACAATACATTCCGGTAAAAAAATACATTCCAGACAACACGCTTCGTACACACAGATTTCCAAGGAATGTCCAGAAACGTCCAACGTTCTAAGAATGTAGGACGTCTCTCTGTGCGGGACATATAAAAAAAAAAATAAAAAAAACCGAGAGAACATATTACGAATTTTGAAACAAGATGAAAATTACAAAGTGAGCAAATTTACTATTAGGGAAGTGTTGACCAATAAAATTATAAATATACCCTAGTAAATTAGCTCACTTTTGTAATTTTTACCTCGTTTTCAGGAATCGTACAATAAAGATCCGAGACAAGACATCTGAATGACATTTTAAAGACGTCTTTCAGACATTTTCGTAAAATAAGGTGTCTTAAAGAGAGTCTTAGGCCGGTATTCATAGTCGATTCTTCCCAGCAAACACAAAGTTACATGTAACGTACTTGTTAGTTGTAATTTCCCACTCAACAATGTAATTGTAATATAACACGTGTGTTATATTACAGTTACATTGTTGAGTGGGAAATTACAACTAACAGATACGTTACATGTAACTTTGTGTTTGCTGGGTTATTTTAAGATCGTCTTAAGTAATGGCTACGTTTACACCGTGCGTTTAGTCCGCGACCTATACAATAGATGTCTTTGTTTAACCTACAGGATAAACAAGGACACCTATTGTATAGGCCGCGGCCTAAACATAGCCGTTTACACCGTGCGCTTATGGTGCGTTCGGGGAGACGCTAATAGCGCTACTTCTGTCATTCTATCTTCGTTGTTTATTAGACGTAAAACAAGGATAAAACAAGGATAAAACAAGAACGACATAAATAGCGCTAATAGCGTCTCCCTGAACGCATCTTTAGTCCGCGACCTATACGATAGGTGTCTTTGTTTAATATACAAGATAAACAAGGACATCTATACAATAGATTGTATAGGCCGCGGCCTAAATGCACGGTGTAAACGTAGCCATTGTCTTAAGACGCTAATGCGGCTCTCTAATTGGTTCGTGACATCTTAAGACTGTACTTAAGACGGTCTTGAATATAAGATCTGACTACGAATATCGGCCTTAAAGTCTTAAAGACGTATTTCACGAAAAAACCGTTTAAAAGATATCTTATGCATTTAAGACGTCTTATGTTCCGATTTTTTTTATTTTGTGTTGTTTGGAGTGTTAGATGATTACGCATTAATATCCGCTTAAGCGCGAGTTAAAGATTAGTAGATTAAATTAATGCTCTTACTCGAGACTATTCGAAGTATTTGATTCGCACGTTGTACTGAAATGCTATAAAGCCGAATAGCGTGTCCTGGCGTGTTCATCTCGTATCTTCAAATCACTGAGTTTCAATCTAGAAACAGAGATCGGACTTATTGTTCTCGCGAATACTGCACGAAATTTTCGAATCGCCGAAATCGCCGAAAATTCTTTCTTCGCACTTATCTTGTTTTGTAAGCTAACTATACTGATTGTTACTTTGAAAAAATACTTGAGGTGCCATCTGGAAATCCTCAATTCGTACTATTTGCTATTATCAGCGGACTCGATCGATATCAAAGAAAAAAATATTACTTATCATCAGTTCTCGTTAAATTTTGTGATTACCATCAGAATCAATTCAATTTTCTAGCCAGGATATTCACGATCGAATATTAATTTTGTTTTCTTTTAAACTTTATTTTGTTTTGATAACCATATGAGATCAAGGCGATCAAGGTAGATCAATGGCGAATAATTAATTCGGGATACAATAGTACCAAACAAATTGAAACTATTTATAAGTTTTCTATATAATAATCATAATACGAATAATGGTCTTCGATCTTCACCACGATAAATAAAATTCAAAATTAATCTTAAAAAGTACGAATATAGAATTAATGTGAACAAATGACTTACCAAGTATATCAATTTCATGTCTTATGCAATTATAAATATAACCGGCGGTGTGTTCGATTTTGTGCATGATGTATCATTTTATCCTTCTTTAATATTCGGTGAATATAAAGATAAAATGATACCTCATGCGAATCATGCGTAAACAGAAGGCACTCCGAGTCATCTAAGCCTAATTTTCCCTACTTTAGCCGAGTTTCATATTTGTTACAACTTCTTTTGCGGATGTAGTTATTCGTTCATTCGTAAACATGGCTTAATGGCTGCCGTGTTTAATGTCACCGACGAAATATTATTAAAGACCGACATCCTTATAGCCGTTAACCTTATAGCCGGCCGACCCGACTGCCAACTCTGACTGCCGATCAATAATGGACCAATCACAACATGACCGATTCAATGTGATTGGTCCATTATTGGTCAACAGCCAGAGTTGGCAGTCGGGTCGGCTTGCAG